CTACAGTAATGGCGGTCGACCGCACTGTTCACGGATAGTTTCTATTTTTGACAAATTCAGAAATTTTGCGTATCTGACTTTGTAAAATCAATTAAAAATAGTAAATCAACTCTAAAAATCATGAAATTTTGAGGGAAGGTTCTAGATATGTAGATAAACATGTTAGAGGAAGAATTTCTGAAATATCACTTCCCAGTCGAGATAAATAAATGTTTGAATACAGATATATAGTTTCTAAAAAAATGCAGAAAATACGGTTTTGTAAATTCAATTGAAAATAACAAAACAACTCCAAAATTAGTAAAAATTGGGGAAATTTTTGTATATATGATGATAAACATGTAAACGAAGAAATTTTTCAAATCGCATTTCCCAATTGTGAAAACGTATCAGTTTTGTAAAAACATGCACGAACATGTGCACGAACATGAGCTAATTAAAAACTTGATTTTGTAAATTCAAATAAACATAACAAATTAATTCCAAAATTGATAAAACTTTGGGAAACATTTATAAACATGAAATTAAATATGTTAGAAAAAGAATGTTTCAAATTGAGTTTCCCATTTGTGAAAACTCATGTATTTTGCAAGTGTGTCCAAAACATAAAAATGTGATATACATGAAATTTGATGTTTTGACATAAACAATGTTTTGAAACCCTATGAAATAATTTTATAGACTTAATGAAATATGTATACAATAATTGTTAAGTCCATAAACCAAAACTTGTGTATATATATAACTATATATATAAAAACCAAATGTGTGTGTATATATGATTGAGCTTAAAGTACTAACACACATAATATAAACCTAAACTAAATGTTACCTAAGCAGTCTTGATCTTCAATAAGCTTGACTTGGTACACTTGCGGATGAAACTTGAACTTGAATCTTTAACTATGAATTGTGTAGGCTTCACTCCATAATTCTGCCAACCTCCATTGGATATGATCGTGAATGCGTAATTCCATCCATCCTCTAATTTATTATTTGCCTAGAATAAATACGAAAACACAAACACTAGACAAAAAACATTAGAAGTAAATTATTTGTTAAACATCATCAAAACAAGAAGGCCAACAATCTCCTCCTTTTTGATGATGACAAACAATCTATAAAAAAGATATATGTAAGAAAGGAAATGAATATATAAATTATAATTTACATGTATATAAGCAAGAAAGAGTATACTCACAATATTTCTCCCCCTTTGACAACATCAAAAAAGGGACAAAGAAATAAAGAGAGCGAAAGCTCCCCCTATCAATATGCATGGGTGAGTATAACACATAGAAGGATATAGGGATTGCTCCTCCTATCGAAATGCCTCATGAATGTATGAAATGAATGCTAAGGCATACATATGTGAGAAAAGCATAGATTAAAAACATGCTAAACATAACTCACATATAAAAAAGATAATGAGAACTCATATAAATATGTTAATATGAAAGAAGTGTCTCATTACACAATTTTAAAAACATAGTGTATAAAAATAGATTTATGAAATCAAAAGATAGAACATGAGAATCACGCAAAAAGTTTACAAATCAACCAAATGAAATCATAAATCAAAGTGTAAATCCAAAAACAATGTTTGATCAATAAAGAAAACTTTCTTTGTAGGACTTGATCAAACTACTCATAGAATACATTATAAAGCATATTTAAAATTTTTTTATGCTATATAATGAATTCAAAAGAACAAATCAAAACAAAATTTTTATAGTTCAAAAATAAGATTACAAAATATATAAGAATCATGAACTATGGAAAAAAAATCATCTTTAAAAGTATAAAACCAAATCATTATTGATTTTCAAAAATCAAGAGAGGCAACTATATCTAGCTCTTGAGCTAGTATCAACCCATATAAATATTTCTAGCACCCGGTAAACAAGATTTGAGAATAAACACCCAATAAACCCGGAGGGTTATATAAACACAAACCTCTCATCAAAACAAAACCAATAATCATAAAAACAAAAGAATTTGATCAATGAAAAAAAATTGTTTTCATGTTCAAAAGTTTAAAGTATACTTTTTCAAAACCAAGAAAAAAGAAAAATAAAAACATTAAAATTCTTGGTTTAAAATCAAATTTATTTTGGTACCCAAGTATTCTTGGTACCAAAAGGTTTAGGGATATGACCCCTATCATTTAAGTTCAAAGCCCTAGGGTTACGAACCTTCTTGGGCACATATGGTGCACTAACACGGTCAAAACAATATTTATTCAAATGACCATTCCGATTGTAATTTGTGCAATAAAAGAGATCCATTTGTTTTTGTGGACCATTAGTTCGTGCACGGGAATCATTTTAAAATAAAGATTGTCTTTTAGATTCATTTTGCAAATAAGAAGCATTCTTAAACAATGGTCTATTTGGAACATATTGTAACTTTGGAGCTTTTTACAAATCAAAATAAAATTTAGCAAGATGTCCAAACCTACCACAAACATCACATTATACTTGGTTTTGTATAGCTATAATGAAAAGATTTTCTAGGAGATTTACCTTAGAGTTATATATAAAAACGTTTTCTTGAGTAGTAAATAGTTTCAATTAGAATATCCAAATATATCAAGTAAATTAATTATTCACTAACTTCTTTAAATTAACAAGTTGATCAAATTTTGTGGGTATATTCACTACAAACCCTCACGAGACTATAATTCGTCCACTAGGGTAACCTAGGGTTTTAAAGGATTGTTGTATATGCTAAATATAATCGTGATTCCTGCGAAAGTGAGTTAGGATTTTTTTCTTTCTCTTTTATTTTCTTTCTTTGCTAGAGGATTAGCAAAAGTTTATGTGTGGGAGTATTTAATAATTATATTCTTATTGTATTTTTATACCCTTATTATCTATTTTATATAAATAATTATTCTACTAATAATTATTTTTATCTTAATTTACAGGTTAATAAAGAAATAATGAATAAAAGCCCAAAAGACTCTAACTTTCTTATTTTGTAACCTTTTATTGAAGCCCGAGATCAAGCCAAGTAGCCCATAGAAGCCAAATAAAATAAAAATCTAATATGAAAAGAAATCATATTCAAGATGGTTGGCCACAAAGAAATAATAATATCTCCTAATCCGGAAGGCGGAATTTAATATATAATATATAAAAATCGCCTCTCTCGACGAGACGAAGCCATCTGTCAAGTCAGTTTTTTTATACTAGTATCGATATCAGTATCGATACCTACATCAATAGATGCATCGATACCCATATCGATACATGTATCGATACCAAATGTGCAATTACGATTTAAAGGCTGAAATTGATTAACTTAGGAATCAAGTTTAATTCAAGGGCTCTCATTCATTACTGCAGGCTATAAATAGAAGGTAGAGAGTGAGGGATTAGGGTGTGAAATATTTTGTAAAAGCTCCTTTTAGAGAAGAGGGTTACTCTTAATTGAGAAATCCTTCTAAATTGTAACTTTTTGTTATAATTAATAAGAATTATTTTACCTCTTCATATTTTTATTTTCTTCTCTTTGTTGGATTAGAAGATGAAGATAGGATGAAGATGAAGATCAAGATGAATGTTTGCTATCAGCTTGAGGCTAGAATCTTCTTGGGATGTAAATTTTCTTTTTGTTAATAAATTTATCATTTACTTTCTTTTCTTGCTTAAATAGCTAAGAAGCTAGAACTTTTTGCCTTAGATTTATTTTCATTCTTAATAGAGTAGATTTATTTTCATGTCTTTATTTTCTTGCTTTAAATTCTTACATTTATTTATTGCAATTTATTTTGTAGTTTAGATTTTATTTTCTTGTACTATTCACCTTGAAGCCAGAATCCTCTTGGGATTAGTTTTTATTTTTATTTAGTTTTCTTTTCCTTGATTCACCTTGAGGCTAGAACCCTCTAGGGAATTACCCTTTTTTAAAGATGTGGAACTAATACTTATGGGAACTCTAAAAATTCCATGAAACTAGCTAGTGGATTCAATTCTAGATTCAACATATCTCTAATTGAATCCTACATCGTTTACTTTCTTTATTTTCCTCCTTATTCTTGATTTTTCTCTCATTTGTTTCTTGATTATATTTTCTTCATCATTCTTTCTTCCCTTTTGTTAGTTTTTTTTACATTCACTCTTTATCACATCCACTCTTTATCTCTCCACTCTCAATCTCGTTTTGTATTTACTTACATACAATCACTCTTACTCTGTTTTTCTCTCCACAATCACATCCTCATCACTCCTAATTGTCACACACACAACATAAGAACCGATTTTAATTTTCTCCTACAAGCACCTTCCTCGTGGGATCGATAACTTTTTATACTATAACTTGATGGTTGTGAACTTGCATCTCTAGAGGTATACATTTATGCCCCGTCAGTTTGGTTGACTCTGTCTCGAAAGAATAAGTGATTACATATATAATTCGGCTAATTCCGACTTACGGTTCGAGAGATATGACCCGTTCTTCGTTGCAAGTTATTTTCCTCGACCGGGTCCACGTTGGGCTTGTATCGCTCCCGCTTCTCCATAAATATGTCCGCAGTGTGTGTTCTACATCACATTGTTCGTATATCTTACACATGCAATTGGTTCTTTCTCATATCTCGAACTCAATGTAGATCATGAATTTCATGACTTCACATGTTTCATATTCTCCTCATTTTCCCCACTTTCTTACTCATTTTAATTCATAGGTACGAGTTGTGAGATCATGAGCAATACCATTCTTGCTCACTACTGAGAACTATGATACAAGATATATGTGCATTACAACTCACTGATAAACAACATTGTAAGATTATCACTTCCCAATCTCCATGCTCGATAATATGATCAGTTTGTCAACGCCATATTTGACCATTTGATGAGAATGGAATTTGATGGTGATAACATACTTTTGCTATTTTCATGAAAAATTTTGCAATTTGGAAGAGATAATTATTGGTCATATGAGGTGTTTAAAATTTTATGTAATCAAATAATTATTTTAACTATAGTTTGGGAAAGAATGTAGTTTATCCTTAACCATAACAATCGGTAAAATTTCCTCGTTTTACCATTGACAGGTCAGAATAACTAATCTAATAGGGATTACATAGGGCATACTTAGAGATCTCACATAACTTAGAATAAATAACATAACATACAACAGGTAGAATAATTTCATTAATCTGACTTGGGGTTCTCATCTAATAAGAGAAGATTCCCCAATCTTGTAGAATTGACATAATCTTGAGGAGAGTGAGGTGGTAACCCTGGTATTATCAATCCAACAGTTCTCAAGAACCTCAATGTCCATCCTTCACTATATTCTGATCCTTTCACGAAACCGATACAGAAGCTTCGAAGAAGTTCCCATGCTGCATTCAGGTACTTCGGTATCACAGTCCATGTCAAGAAGTAATTCTTATTTGGTTCGTCAGTCAAAATCTGAATCAAGAGCACAAAACATATGAATTCAACTTTAATTCAACGCCAGTTTGAATAAAGCACAGGAATGTTCACTGATTGACATGAACTACTGATACATGTGATCGTACAACAGATATCAGTTTGTGGAATCATACTGTTAATGAGAGAATCAACAACTGAAAATGTAACGCTAATGTGTGCATATGAGCAAGTGCCATGCATGTGTCAGAGTGAGAGATTAAGGGACAAGTATGCTAACCTTTCCTCTGTAGATACTATTATAGTACAGGCACTTTCCAAAGTGTTTGAACAAGAGAGTCTTGTCATCATAGGGTACCCTAGGGACCATATCATTGCAGTACACAAACCTATAGTATCGTCTCCTTGGTTGATCAATATGCATCTCCACAAACTCTCCAAGCTTCTCATCTCCTACTCTCGGCTGCCCAAATGTATAAACCCCCTCCAATCGATCCAATATCCAACTATCCCCGTGCAACATTAGTATAGTTGGAAATAGAATGGCCAATGCTCCTCCTAAGCTATGACCGGTCACTATAAACTTTGCCTGGTTGTGTTTCTTCAACTCTTCCCTCAGCTTCTCTCTGATCACATAATATGCAAATGGTGGCTTATTCTTCTGATCTATCTCTTTAGGCCAGCCGGTTTTTCTCTGTAAACCTAACGCTTTCATGAATCCTCCATGGACCTTGCCAACATTCGGGATCTCGTACCATGAGAAGTCGATGTCTGTGCACCATTGGCTTGCATCAAATGGATCAGTTCCCCTAAATCCAAGAAGTATTAACTCTGCATCCTCTGACTTATCGCACATCATGAAAGCTTGTGTACAGTACTGCTCTTGAAAGTCTGAAAATATTGCAGGTATAATAAAATATCTAGTCAGTGATGATGGAATATAGAAGTTTCATAATGACAAGTCTGCTCAGATGTATGAATTTCAGAAAAGAAAGAAAATAAAGAAAAGGCAATTCCTGAATAAAATAAAGTTCTATCTTTTTCAATATTAGCTAGAATTATGCATGCAAATCTCTGTCAAGACATTTCAATATTCTATACAGAATTAATTAACAGTTTCATTTTGATCATAGATTAGACAGATCTTTGTCACACTTCTAAGATAAGGGGTTTCTTGAAAATTGGTGTATAGATGAAGGGATTCTATGTGATACAACTTAAGTTATGCTAATTTAAGTGAAAGTACGAATTCTGAAACATATACAGGTTCCTAGAAAACAGATAACACAGCATGCTCAGGTACAAGGTAGATTACCTTATTAGTGAATTATTATTCATCAACCTTTATGGCCACATCTCTTTTCTTTATACATGGCCTAGTCTCTAACATTATCCTGAAAGTTCTCATTATATAAATTATGTAAATAGAATCATTTTTCATATTCAGTGGAAACCCTTACTATTTTGACAGAATGCGAACAGTTTCCATTAAGAATGTACTTACCATTCCAACAATTGAAGAAACTCAAGAACTCCATCTGTAAAAAATCGTTCTCCATGATGTTAGTCTTAAAATGATATCAGTCTTAGAATTAACTTGCTTCTGAACATGGCTAGAAATATTCTTAAAAAAGCGGACTTACCTTCCAATGTTCTTTAACAACCTTTCTGACATGCGATTCATTCTCATAAGCTAGTTTGGCGACCATGATAGAAAGAGCTGCAAGGTATCTTTTATCACCTGGTCTGATTTCCTTACATAACTCATCTCTGGTGTCGCAGAGTCCAACGGCCGATCTGTATCTCTCTGATTTCTCATCTGGGAACGCCATTTGCCCTGAAGGTTAACACAGAGATGGATAACAATCCCAAACACGCAGATTTAATGAGGTTTTAATTGAATAGTAGTGACTGATTCCTTTTATTGTGTGTTTTGAATATTATTAGATATAAATGTATGGCAGAAAAGAGCATGTCCAAATCTATTTCACAAAACATTTCTGCTATCACAAACAGAGTCTCCTAAAGGTATGCTAACAATCACCCAAGAAAAAGTTATGTAGTTTTAGGGGGTTATTTGAACATCTTTATCATCTAATAGTTAGCCAATAACCAGTCTTGATCATCTTCTGAAAGTTTAATTTTCATGCTTTGTGCTTAATCAAGCAAAGTTTACATATTGCCAGATCAAAATACTGAAAATGAAGATTAAAAGTTGAAAACAAGATAACCCATGGTATACTTTATAAATCATTACTTGACACAGTAAATGTTGAAACATGCACGCCAGAAAACAGGAAACTTCTCTCTGGTCGGTCGACTGATAAAATTAATCAATCGACCGATAGCATGCACAACAGGAACTGTGAATTTTCTCTCTGGTCGGTCGACCGACCATATGTATCGGTCAACCGATGATGTTCAAAACAAATTCCTATTCTGTTTTAGATTCTATTTTTTTGGAGTTAGGATATATATATTAAAGGAACATTTTTTATTAGGGTTTCTTTTAATCAGAGAAAAGAGTTTTGAGAGAAGATTGAGCATTTTGAGAGGGAGATTCTTTGAAGGTGAGTGAGATCTTGTTGGTGAAGGTTATTTTGATTGTTTGAGAGTTGTAACCCATTATATTTCTCCTCCATATAAAGAAATCTCCCCATCCTCTCCCCGTGGACGTAGACATATTGCTGAGCCACGTAATTCTCTACGTTTGCGATTGATCTTAGCCGTTTTGGATTACGGATTGTACTCGTTGTGTTCTTTGTGCATTGTTTTCCGACTTGTTGTGGATTGAGTCTGCTTCCGCTGAACGTAACAAGTGGTATCAGAGCAAGGTTTTAGATCTAGGGTTTGATTTAGCTGGAGAAAAATTCAGTCTTGGAAGCTTGGATTTTGGAGATCTAGGTTTCGGTGGAGGTAGAGTTGCGGAGTTGTCATTGGAGATCTCGTCTTTCTTATGTGGTTAGGAGATTGTTTTGGAATTCTATCTAGGGTTCAATTTGCGTGATTTATCAATTCTATCATTTTCTTATTTCCTCTCTACAATTTGAAGTTAGTAAGTAATGGCAGAAGAAAGTAGTGACAGTAGCAAGACTATGTCGAGTACAGTTCAGGTTGCACTTCAGAATATGAAGATTAGTATTATGAAGTATGACGTCAAAATTAATTTTGGGTTATGGATCAGTGATGTGTAGGATACTTTAAATGCTCAAAACTTAGAAGAGACAATTATGGCCCATGTGAGGCCACCTAAATATAATGAGATAGTGTGGGACAAAATGAATAGAAATGCTTGTGGGGCGATTAGGTCTTGGTTAGAACAAGAGTTGAAATATGATGTTATTGGCGTGACGTCTACGATAAAAATATAGGAGATTCTCAATAACAAGTATCTTACGAAGAGTGTTGAGAATCGATTGCAATTGCTACGGAGATTATTCAAATTTTAGATGGCTAGGGGCATCTCACTTGCATATTATGTGAACAACTATACAAAGTTATTATTGGACTCGGCAAATATTAATGAGAAGATATCGGATGAGTAAAATGCGATCATTTTGTTAGGCTCATTACCCAATGAGGATTTTGATACATTTGTGCTTACATTGTTAAATGGTAGATCTTCCATCACCTATAGGGAAGTTACAAATGCATTGAAAAATTTTGATTTGAGGAGGAAGGATAAAGAATCTTTCAGAGCTAATACTTGTAGGCTGTCTAAAAATCACAATAGATAGCTGATCCCCATCAAACACCGATGATGGAAGTTACAATCTGACAATTTTCAGAAGGCTACAATTTGAAAACTTTCACGTAGATCGCTGAAGGTTACAATCTGACGACCTTCACGACAACCGATGAGATCTCTAGTTTAACAGCCTTCACAATCAACATCGAGAGTTACAATCTGACGACTCTTGCATATCAAAGAGCTAAAGTAAAGATTATAAAATGACGATCTTTGCAAAACTTTGATAGAAAGAGACTACAAATCGACGGTCTCTTCAAATCAAGACGTGGAAGTCCTCCCCGCGTACCAGCATCAAGATGCGCCGCGTTCATAGCCATGAACGCAGCTCAAATGCAGCTCCAAAAGTTGCAAACGCAGCTCCAAAAGCTGCAAACACAGCTCAGATTCGACCGCCAACGCAGCTTCCAAATCGCTGTAAACGCAGCCTTCAAACGCTATAAACGCAGGTCACATCTAGCTCCAAACGCAGCTTCCAAGCGCTGCCAGACGCAACTCTATACCGTTACCAAACGCAGCTTCCATCCGCTGTCAAATGCAGCTTCCAAGCCGCCAAACGCAGCTTCCAACAAGATGCCAACGCAGTTTCCAGCCGCTGCGTCCGAGCTTTCAGACACTGCGTTCAAGCTTTTAGGCATTGTGTTTGGACACAGAATTCATGCCAGAACGCGGGCCTGCGTTTGACTCATTCAAACACGAGTTGAACGGTTCCAAAACCGTTTCCCACGATCTGAGGGGATCACAACTCCACTCAGGAGTGATTTAAGGGGCGGTTACATCCCATTAGCCCCACTTAGGAGCGAATTAAGGAGGTGGTTATACCCCTTAATCCCCTATAAATAACTAAAAATCAATTCAGTTCAAGGGTTCGGTCGGTCAGTTAGAACTTCTTGGCTCGTCAACAGGATCCTTAGAGCATTTCTGGAGCTTGGGAGATCGGTAACAAGATCTTCTTCATCCTTGGCTTATAACCGACTTTCGGTTAAATCAACTCTTTCATAGAGTTTCAAACTCGTTCAGAGTTCTCCACAACGTCAAATCGTGAGGAGAAGACCATGTTCCAGTGAAACAAGACGTCGGATCGTCAACGGGAGAAGACCATGTTCCAGTGAAACAAGACGTCGGATCGTCAACGAGAAGCAAACTCGACGCGAGCATTTGAGGGAGGCATCTCACCGCCACCGTGAAGAACCCAGTTTTAAACAAAGGGGAGAATCAAATTCATTCTCCTCTCTTTTGTAATCGGAATCCAAATTGTAATTGATTTTGAGAGGAATACAGGTCAATTTTTCTTTCATTTCTTTAACTGCAAATTTTCCCAAAAACAAAAGATGGCGACTCTGCTGGGGATGAGCTTCTCTGACGAAGAAGTGGTGGTGCAATCCGATGTTCATCTCACTGGAACAACCGTCGAAACTCTCGTGGTAGAGTTTGATCAAGCCAAGTTTGAGGAGGCCCTCTCCTCCGGATCCCTTAGCCCCAAGGCTATGCGCAAGATCCACAAAGTCTTCAAAGAGACTAAAGCTCCAACTGCTCCAATTGCAGCCGAACCGCCTAAGGAAGACTGCTCGGATAGCCCCTCCCCCGATGGAGTGGGCTCAGCTTTAGCCAAACCCACGCCAAGACGACGGGTATCGGGTCGAAAGATGCCCATTGAGGGGACAAAGGCCTTGAAGCAGGCTAAGAAGAATGTCACTCAACGCAGGAGGAGATCCCTACGACGAGCGCATCTCCGAGAATGTCGATCCTCAAGGCAGCACGAGCTTCGTGTTTGTGAGCCTAAATGCGACACTATGTCCTGCGTTTCTGTTTCAGAATGCAAGTCTCGCGTCTATGAGCCCAAACATAGGCTCTGTGTGAAGAAGACTGAGCGCAACCCTCAGGGGCGCGTTCCACAAAATGAACGCAACCCTCAGGGGCGCGTTCCACAAAATAAACGCAACTCTCAAATATGCGTTTCATCAGCAAAACCTGAAGCTCAGGCATGCGTTCAGTTGACAAAATACAATACAGAGCCTGGTATATACTCTGCGTAGCCACCGAATACTCTGCGTAGCGTGACTAGATTGAGGGGCGGATATAAGAAGTCTTTGGATTCAAGGCATCTCAACCGGATCCATGTTCACCAAGAGCCAGTCATGTCCAATCATGGGCTGGGGGTTCTAATTCAAACCTCACGATCAGTGAGTAGTTCTCCTCGAATCTTCACAACAGATTTGAGAGAGTTCATATCGAGAGAAAGACCGATGCAACAAGTCATTCGTTCATTCCAATGTGAACGGCTGATTCCTACGGGCCTCTCAGGATGTCAATGCTGCTCATATGCGGCCCAACTATTGGTGTTCAACCAATTTACGAATGTTGTTTTGCCCAACCAACAACGACGTTCTCACAGGAAGAAGTCTCCAGAGACTGAATATCCTGGGGTCACTATCAATGTGATCAGCAAAGGGAAAGCCTCAGGTCCTAGTTCCGACGACTCTGAGATAAGTCGTTCACCGACCGTCAGAGAAATCGCTAACGAGTTTGAAGGAGTCTACCAACGCACTCGGACACGAACAGGAACCATTCTCCCTGTCAACTATCGGAGGTTAGCCAGAGGAACTAATTCCGATGATGAACATTAAGCCATTGTCGAGTCTCAATCATCAAGCTCTTTCATTAGGCATGAGAGTTTCACCCACATGGCAGAACCTTCTGAAGATCTTTCAAATAGGGTTGCTGACCAAGACGCCATGCTCAAATTACAGCAGAAGACCCTCAATGAACTCCTAGACCTGTTGACTCAACTCGTCGCAGACAAGGCTAAATCTCAGAAGATAGATTCGTCACCTAGGCAAGAATCCTCCCGGAGAGGAAAAACTTCTTCATCCCGACCTCACACAAGCAAAGGGAAGGAAAAAGTGGTTGATGGTGCTGCTTCTGACCAAGAAGCCCACAACCTAGAATCTTCCTCTGATGAAGGAAGAGAGACGGAGAACGAACAGTGATGAAGGAAGAGAGACGGAGAACGAACAGAATCTCCAGTCTGCCAAAATGGAAGAATTGGAAGCCCGTCTCAATGCCATTGCTAATAGAAGCGAGCTCCA